TCAATCAATTAATAAGTAATATTGATTAAATCAACTTGAATAAAAAATTGTTTATCAACCAAATCATTATAGACAATAAACCAATAAAGCTAATAAAAAGTGCATACTTTGTTTTTGAATACTTTGATTAACAAATTATTTTATGCTTTCCAGTTAAATTAATCCAAATGCTTCAATCGCTAGTAAATATAAAGATCATTTATTAATCAGTAAAATTAAAATTGGTAAAACAAGTTTACAAGTCAATATTATAATACTTACTTATCAGTACCAATACCGATATATACAAATAAATAAATACTACAAAAATGTATCTTGCCAAAGAATAGGAATCAAAATTTAGTTTAATTTTTTAAAACTATTTTTTTATCTTCAACAAGAAACGAAGAATAATTAGAAATGAATAAAGGCTTCATTTGATGAAAATGGATCTTGCCAAAGAATAAAATGTCAATTTTTTAAACCCGAATCTTTTGTCTTTAACAAGAAACAAAAATAACTAAAAATAAATAAATACTTTTGTTTGAACGAAAATGGATCTTGCCAAAGAATAGGGATCAAAATTAATTTAATTTTTTAAACCTGAATTTTTTATCTTCAACAAGAAACAAAAAATAATTAGAAATAAATAAATACCTTCATTTGAACAAAAATGGATCTTGCCAAAGAATAGGAATCGAAATTTAATTTAATTTTTTTAACCTGAATTTTTTGTCTTCAGCAAAAAACAAATAATTAGAAATAATAAGTACCTTCATTTAAACGAAAATGGATCTTATAGGAATTGAATTTAATTCAATTTTTTAAACCTAAATTTTTTGTCTTCAAGAAACAAAAAATAATTAGAAATAAATAAATACTTTTGTTTGAATGAAAATGGATCTTGCCAAAAAATAGGAATTGAAATTTAATTTAATTTTTTAAACCCAAATTTTTTGTTTTCAACAAGAAACAAATAATTTGTTTAAATGAAAATTGATCTTGCCAAAAAATAGAAATCGAAATTTAATTTAATTTTTTAAATCTGAATTTTGTCTTCAACAAAAAAACAAAAAATAATTAGAAATAAATAAATACCTTCATTTGGATCTTGCCAAAGAATAAGAATTAAAATTCTATTTAATTTTTTAACCCCAAATTTTTGTCTTCAACAAGAAACAAAAACTAATTAGAAATGAATAAATATCTTCGTTTGAACAAAAATAGATCTTGCCAAGAATAGAATTGGAAATTTATACAATTTTTCAAAACTGAATTTTTGTCAAAAAAGAATAAAGACTTCATTGGAGCAAAATGGACCTTCAATCATATAGCTGTAACAAATAAAATTTTTTCATGAGGTTGTGTTATAAAAACTAATTATAAATTTTATATAGCCTTAAATTGCAAAAATCTTTATATTTAAAAATCTGCGCAGATTTTTATTTTACTTTAAATAAAAAACTGCAAAGATTTTTAAAAAATCAAAACTTGCAAATTTTTTATTAGTGATTTGCGAAGATTTTTAAAAATCAAAACTTCACAGATTTTTTATTAGTAATCTGTGAAGATTTGATAATTTTAAAAATTTGTGCTAATTATAACCTAATTTATTTTCTCAATGACTATTTTCTTTTTCAATAAATTTGGTTAGTATGTGCAAGAGACTAATTAATTTCTTTAAAATTATTAGTTCAAGTTTGCATTTTTTTAGTGTATTTTTTTTTAATAAATTTTTATTTGGCATTTTTTTTTAGAGAAATTCTAGGCATCTCTAGCTAAAGATATATCTCTAGCTTTTGAACCAATTAAACAACACGAATATCATATAACAAGGCTTCAATCAATAACCAACATCGTCTCATATCTCTGATCTAAAGAACTGAATTGCTCCCGAATTGCTTTTGAGTATTGTGGCATCGTACATCATATGTGTATGTTACCAAACAAAGAATTTAAAAAATTTTCCCATTTTATCATTACCATTGTATACTGACGCCCAAATAGTGCAACCAAAAAAAAAACACCCACTTGTATATAGGAAAAGAAAGTATAGTTGCTTTCTAAAACAAACCTAACATATGAACTTTTATTAAACTAAGTTTCAAAGTTAAACCAATTGATACTGTTGAATATATAAAGCGAAAGAAGAACAAAATAAGGAAGAAAGAGATTTCTTGAACTAGCAACATCTTATACTCTGCCAATTACTATTGCTACACTAATGCCAAAATAGTGCAATCAAAAAAAACACCGCGTATGTAAAAGAAAGTACAGTTGCTCTCTAAAACAAACCTAATAATATGAACTTTTAATAAACTAAGTTTCAAGGTTAAACTAATTAACACTGTTGAATATATAAAGTGAAGAAAGATTCTAAATAAGGAAGAAAGGAATCTCTTGAACTAGCAACGTCTCATACTCTTAGCAAACAAGTCAAGGACTTTCTGATTAGAATATTGAAAAGGAGTTAGCTCTTTTATCTAAATATAAACTGAACACTAAAATTGTTGTAAAGTTTTAAAACAGATGAAAAAATAAAAAAAACCTCGAATTTCTAAACCTATTTATACAAAGTGGCTTTATAGAAATTTTTAAACCAATAACCATTAGTATTTAAAACAAGCAAAAAAACCAAGCCTTTCAAATAATGATGGCACAATAAAGCTATAAGAATTTCAAATCAAGATCTATTGGACTTGAAAAAAAAACAGTTTAACATAGCCAACATGCAGCAAGAAGAAATGTTACAAAAATAGTTTATTAATGGTAAAGTTTTAATAATAACATCCCGATCACTATGCCAAAATCATAGGTAATTAATGAATAATATTCTAATTCATATGTGAATAAGTGGAAATTAAGTTTCCACTTATTCACATATGGATCAGAATATTATTCATTAATTACCCATGATCTTGGTATAGTGATCGAGATTATTTGTTTAATACTGTACAAAAAAACTAACAACTGCCTCTGTTTTAACTAGAACCTATATTGGAATCTGAAATTTTATTGAACATGAAATCTTATCAAAATTTGAGACCACTTTGAAACTCAAAACCCCATTGGAACCCGAAGCCCTACTGGAGCCCAAAACCCCACTGGAACCTGAAACCCATTAGAACCAGCATGGCAAATATTTGATTTAATTGGTTAAACAAATGTAAACAAATAAACAAACAAGTAAACAATATGCATAATGTAGATTATTATATAAATTTAGATATTTATTATAATTTAATATAATTAATACTGTATATTTTTTAATAAGTAAAAAAATAAAAATTTTTTAATTTATTACAGTAAATTCTATATATTATTGTATAAATAACTAATAATATTAAAATATCTACTATATATAATATACTATATTAATACAAATATATGTTAGATGTTTAAGCCTTTTTGGACTGTTTGGTGAACTGTCCGAATCTCATCTGGCTTACAAATCTAATTCTAAAAATGCTTCAAATATACAAAAATCAATTCTAAACAACTTTAATTAATAATTGAAAGTGAGTCATGATAATAAAATCTTGCTCTATTTAGTATTATTTAGTGTTAAATTCTGTCTAAATATTGTTCAAGTTGTCTGAGTAATAGCACTGGTCTAGCTATTATTACACAAATATATATTATATATTATAAAAATATATAATTCTAAATAAATATTTATTAATACCCGATTAAAAAACTTTATTAAAAAATATATAATTTTAAATATATTACATATTTATATTAACAATTTTTAATTATTATAATCTTTCAGAGATTATAACTGAGAATCTAAATAAATTATATCTAGAAGTAAATACTATTTAACACTAAATACAGTCAGTACCCGGGGTCTAACACCATTATTTAAATAAATAGTACTATGGGCACTGTATGAGAAGCCAGATACTATATGTAGAGAATATATCATATGAAAGTAATGAATATAGTTATATTTCATTTATTATTCAAGAACTACTATATGCCACTGCTTACAGTATCCCCCCAGGCAGTGTTGTATATTTTGAATGTCCGAGCCTTTTTGAACTGTCCAGCGGACTGTCTGAATCTCATCTGGCTTACAAATATAATCTTAAAAATATACTTATATGTGCAAAAATCAATTCTGAACAACTTTAATTAATAATTGAAGGCGGGTCACAATAATAAAATCTTGCCCTATTTAGTATTATTTAGTGCCAAACTCTGTCCGAGTATTGTTCGAGTTGTTTGAGTAACAACACTGCCCCCAGGTATTATTCACCACCACTACCAACCTGTTTCTTAAATAAAACCTGAGGTATAACTATAATAAATTACTTTTAATATGATATATCTCCTAGATGTAGTACACAGTTTTTTAGAAAGTCCTAGATTAGCAATGTATGCGCTATATAAATTGGCTTGCAAAATATTACCAGAATGCAAATCTTGATGAATCAATTTTTGAGAATGAATTGCTTCAAAATCAAAGTAATATATCCAATATCAAAAGACTTACCATTAAATGCTCTCATCCCTGTTGCTAACTCTGTCATAATGATACCAAAGCCATCTCTTAAGTGAATAGTTTTCCTTGTATGGCTTCTGGTGCCATATACAACATAACACTATTCAAAAAGTTCTAAATTAGCAATGTATGTGCTGTGTAAATTGGCTTGCAAAATATTACCAGAATGCAAATCTAGATGAATTAATTCTTAAGAATGAATTGCTTCAAGATCAGAAGCGATACAAAATAATATATCCAAACACTCTCACCCCTTTTTCTAACTTCGTCATAATTTCACCTCTTGAGTGAATAGTTTTTCTTGTAAGACTTCTGGTGCTATATACAGCATAACACTATTCAAAAAGTCCTAAATCAGCAATATATGTGCTGTGTAAATTGGCTTGTGAAATATTACCAGAATGCAAATCTCGATAAATTAATTCTTGAGAATGAATTGCTTCAAGATCAGAAGTAATATATCCAATATCAAAAGACTCACTATAAAATGCTCTCATCCCTGTTGCTAACTCCGTCATAATGATACCGAAGCCACCTCTTGATTGAATAGTTTTCCTTGTATGGCTTCTAGTGCTATATACGACATAACATCATTCAGAAGTTCTAAATCAACAATGTATGCGCTGTGTAAATTGGCTTGCAAAATATTACCAGAATGCAAATCTAGATGAATAAATTCTTGAGAATAAATTGCTTCAAGATCAGAAGCAATACAAAATAATATATCCAATATCAAAGACTCACCATCAAATGCACTCACCCCTTTTCTAACTTCGTCCTTTTGAGTTAATAGTTTTCCTTGTAAGACTTCTGATACTATATATGGCATAACACCATTTAGAAAGTCCTAAATCATCAATGTATGTGCTGTATAAATTGGCTTGCAAAATATTACCAGAATGCAAAACTCGATGAATCAATTCTTGAGAATGAATTGCTTCAAGATAAGAAGTAATATATCCAATATCAAAAGACTCACCATCAAATACTCTCATCCCTATTGCTAACTCTGTCATAATAATACTGAAGCCACCTCTTGAGAATGGTTTTCCTTGTATGGCTTCTGGTACTATATACAACATAACATCATTTAGAAAGTCCTAAATCAGCAATGTATGCGCTGTGTAAATTGGCTTGCAAAATATTACCAGAATGCAAATATAGATGAATCAATTCTTGAGAAAAAATTGTTTCAAAATCAGAAGTGATACAAAATAGTATATCCAATATCAAAAGACTTACCATCAAATGCTCTCACCCCTTTTTCTAACTTTGTCATAATTCCACCTCTTGAGTGAATAGTTTTCCTTGTAAGACTTCTGGTGCTATATACAACATAACACTATTCAAAAAGTTCTAAATCAGCAATGTATGTGCTGTGTAAATTGGCTTACAAAATATTACCAGAATGCAAATCTAGATGAATTAATTCTTGAGAATGAATTGCTTCAAGATCAGAAGCAATACAAAATAATATATCCAATATCAAAAGACTTACTATCAAATGCTCTCATCCCTTTTGCTAACTCCGTCATAATAATACTGAAGTCATAAATATCCATCTCTTGAGTGAATGGTTTTTCTTGTAGGCTTCTAGTGCTATATATGGCATAACACTATTCAGAAAGTCCTAAATCAGCAATGTATGTGCTATGTAATTCTTGAGAATGAATTGCTTCAAGATTAGGAGCAATACAATATAATATATTTAATTTATCTTTCCATTCCAATTGAGTTACAGTTTTGAGATTCTGACGCAACGAACCTGTACTTGCATATTTCAAAACAATAATATAATTTTAGCTATATTGTCTTATGATACTCTATAACATTCTAAAAATAATGGATTATCATATCCTATATTACAATAATACTTCAATTCTTAAATGAAATTTTCCCCACCTTTTCTATTTCTCTAATATTTTTGTAATTAATCCATGATAGTTTATATTTTTCATTGTTTAAAATCTTTTTAACACCACTATTTGCTGTATTGACAAAATATTTGGATTAGTTAAAATTAACGTTTGTTAGGGTATTTACTTGTACATGATTTTACTGTAAAAAAATTCTATAAAGAACTTACTTGCTGTATTGACAAAAGATTTAAATTAGTTAGAATTATCATTCTTCATGCAGAATTTTATTAATTTTCTTAAGAATTTTTAATTTCCAACATCACTTTGAATATCTCTTTGTACTCCAATTCCATTCTGATAGCAATTACTAATATTACTTATTCCCCAAAAATTATTTATGTTAGCATTAATTAATCTTAATAAACTAAACAACTACTTCGATAAAGATAAATAAAATAGAGATCAAACTGCTCTTTTTTTTCTAATTGGCTAATTTAATAATAGCATTTCATTGTTTCTAAATAATTTTAGCAGTATCTCAAGTGCTGGCTAATCACACTAAAGGAGCTGCTTAAGAACACTCTAATTTAAATTTTTGTTAACTTTTTTTTAAGTTAAAAGCAAAAAAAATAAGTTTATATAATCTATTAATGCCTAATTAACACATTTGTTACACATTACTTAAATTTGCTTCTTAAGTAAAGTTTTTAGTAATAATGATCTATACTGATCTTTTTTCACAGAAGATGTATGAAGAGTTAAAGAATACTATAATATAATTTAAAAAAAGTTTATTTTGTAAAACTATGAGTTGCCAATTGATGATGTAGTTTTTCATAGTACAAATTACATTAAAATTTTTTTTATATTGTGTAACTCAGAGATCTGCAAGCCAATCAAATCAAATGTCTGCCATGCTATTGAAACCTGAAATCTCATTGAAATCAAGTAACTTGCTTTTTCAGTGTAACTAGGGTTATGCCTCACTTGAGGCCTTCAAATATGTCACTGATCAATATACTGAAACAAGTGGGTTTAAAGTGATTTTCTTAAAAGACAACAATCGTAAAGATGGTTTATGTTCTGCTCAAGTTTTTGTGTGTGATCGCTCTGGTGTGTTCAAACCTAAATCTAAAGATCCGAATAAGAAAAGTAGGAATAAGAAATCAAAAAAGTGCAACTGCCCCTGGTCTGTTTGTCTAAATTATAACAAAGATGATGATAAATATTATATATCACAAGTAAATCTACACCATAATCATGAACTTATTCTGCTCCAACTTATACGCATTATATATACTAACTAAGAAATGCTGGGCTTTATTAAAGAAGAAATTCTTACTGCAAAAAAAGCAGAAATTGCAATACCACAAATCCAATCCCTCCTTACAATAAAATATGAAATAGTCATAAAGAAGTGATTAATAAAGGATGTGTATAATTTGGTTGACGCTGATCGCATGTTGTGTAATGAATTTCAAGCCTACAATTTTTTTCTTCTCTTTTAATAAAAACATAATGATGACCCCAAGTTTTCTTATGAATTTAAGCTGGATAAAAATGACCGATTAAAACATGTAATTTGGGTGTATACTGCACAAAAAAAACAGTATATGCATTTTAATAACACGATTGTGTACAATAATATGTACAAGAGTAACTACTTTCTTGATGCTCTTTTGGGGTGTTTACAGGCATCACAAATAACGGTCTCTCCTATAGTGCTGGTGTGCTGCTTCGTGACGAAACAGACTCGAGTTTTGAATAGCTTTTCGAAGCTTTCATTCATATATTCAGCACCGTATCCCAGACTATTCTCACTAATAACAATCTTGCGATAGCTGATACTATCCATTCTGTCCTTACTAATAAGCATGGTACAAAACATGATCTTCATATTTGGCATATAGTAAAAAATATAAGGTCCAATATGATCTCTAAGCTTGAAACGAAGTATACCATGTTTTACATGGATCTTATGAAATGTTTAAGCTATTATATTAACCAAAACGAGTTCAAAAAGTGATAAAAATGTATAATGGAAAGTGAAGACTATGCCGAAACATAGTTGTACCTGGGAGTTCTTAGTTAGTGGCATAAATAGTGGGCCCTGGCATATTTAAAGAACTACTTTTTTGCGGACATGTCGTTGACGCAGAGAGGAAAATCAATAAACAGTCTTTTAAAGAGCTTTATAGACTGTAAAATAAGGCTTACAGAATTTTTAGCAGCCTTTGAGTATGCACTTTACTTTTGGAAAGAGGCAGAACATATTTCTGCTTACAAAGAACTTGTCTACCCCATATCTTTGGATTTTCCAAATCCAATTGAAAACCAGGCTGTTAGTTGCCTGACAAAATATGTCTGGAAGAAATTTGAGGCAAAATGGAGTGAAAAAGATGCATATGTGTATGAGGAAATAACTGATAACAATGGAGTGCATTGTTTTGAGCTGTCATGTTACGAAAGGCCAGATATTATATATCATGTCTACTATGATGGCAAGGTACTTGCTTGTTGCTACCACAATCTCGAATTTGCTAGAATAGTTTGTCGCTATTTTCTTACAGTTGAGGTTCACCTATGTCTCACTCAACTCGATCCTGTCCACTTTCCAAAATGCTGGAAAAAGAACCTGTCTGAGTTGGAGCTTGCAAAAAACTATGTTAATTTTTATAGCTGTATACAACCACAAGATCCAGGAGCTTTAGCATCACATGAATCATTTGGTAAAGGTGACTCTTGAATCTGGTTTATGTGTATCTAATGACTATTAAGAGAAATCGCAAACAAAATTGCGACAAACCCATAAATGTGCCGATTTTACGTCGTATCTCGAAAAATATTTGGAAGCATTATATGATGCTAATAACAATTTTGTTTCAATTCATGAGAATACTTTGACATCACTGGAACATTCAATAATTAATAATCCTATAAAAAGCAAGGCTGTTGGCCAACCAAAAAAAGAATGAATTAGGTCCGAAAAGGAAAAAAAAGGAAGAATTAGGTGTAAGAAAGAAAAAGAACAAAGAATTAGGTGTGAGAAGAAAAAAGAAAAGAAAAATACACCACCTGTAAAAAAAAAGTGAGGCTGACCAAAAAAGAATCTTGAAACAGTCACAACCCAAAACTGAGGTGAGAATGTTAGTCTAAACCAGTTCCGAAAATGTGTTCGTACATAGAGTAAATTTTTTTTTAGATTACAATCTTAGTTTATTCATCATAAGATAAAAGTTAATTAATTGACTTTTACACTTTACAATATTATCAACAAGATTCAAAAATTTTTTTTTCTTTTATATTTATATTTCTTATTAAACGTGATAGTTAACAAATGAAAGAAATAAAAGTTTGGAATTATGCTATCAATCTGAATATAAAAACTGTTAAAAATTTTGTCTATTTTTTGAGTGGTTACTGTTAGCCACTGCTTATTCCAAAAATAATACCCTATGATTAAAACCCGGGTATTACTCACTATCCTGTTCCTTTAATAAGGCCTGAGTATAACCCAAAAATAGTACCTGGTTCTTTACATAGTACCCACCGCTACTATCCATTATTAAAAAAATGGAGTTCTTGAATAATATTCTGAGTATTGTAATCGATTTTGTGCTTAAATTTTAATGCATATAATTTTTCTTTTGTTGAAAACAGAAGTTATTTTTTTGTAACATGTTATTACAGTGGGTAAGTACAATAAGAATTTTTTTATTGTAAATAACAAAATCATAATGATTCTGGTACTAAACTAGCACAATCCTATCTAATTCACTGCAATAGTCAGCAGGTATAATGAAAAATTTTTACAGCAAATCGCTATAAGAATCACAATTATTATGATTATTTCAACACAAGCTAACATAACCTTGTCTAAATCACTTTTATGTTATCAAAATAGTTGGTAAGTATAGTAGCAAATTTTTTTTGTAAAAAGCATTGTAGGAATTGTGGCAAAACTAATATACCCTATCTAAATCTCTTATATAACTATACCAGTTGGCAAATACGTATGATAACATAATTTTTTACAGTAAATCATTCTAGAAACCACATTATTCCAACACAACCCGGTCTAATCACTTATATTATCACAATAGTAGACAAGTATAGTGCATAACTGAATTATTATCGAAACCATGATTTTCAGTATAAAACCAACATAACTATGTTCAATCACTTATGTTACCTTTATAGTTGGTAAGTACACAACAGAATTTTCTTAAAGCAAATTACTGCAGAAATATGATTATTCTAACACAAAACTAACATAATTCTGCCCAAATCACTTGTATTATTATAGCGTATAAGTACAGTAAACTAGCATTCTTTATAGCAAATCACTCAGAAATAGAATCATTCCAACACAAAACTAACATAATTCTCCCAAATCACTTATATCATCTCAATAGTTAGC